ATCACGTTGCTCGCCACGAGCCAAGCAAGGACCAACTGATCACAACTGTTACCTAACAGCCATCACATGGTCCCGTATCTCTACCGGGTGCTTTTTGCGCATGTGCAGTTTTCCCTACTAAGTAGTTCCCGCTCAATTCTTACGTCCATGCGCATTCGCGTTCGTAGCGCTTACCTACGTATACTGGTCATATGCAGTTTTATTTTATTTTCGGATGTATTCTTAGTATCACAAGGCAGCAACACAGCAATGCCAGTTATTTAATTTTATAACATTTTACAAACTGCTTCATTTCTTGGAAAGTTTAATGATACTGACACCATAAAACATTTGATATCGAGATCCCCCCCTCCCTTAAGAAAAAAAGAAGAGAAATGGAAGGGTGTTGTCTATTTTGCAGCACACAGAAATACCGAAAGCGATTTTTGCGAGTGCACTATCCTAACTTGAGTTTCAGTGGTTTCTTTGTGGTCGAAACACAAATTAGAACCAAGCAGTAAAACATCATGAGTCCTGGACTCATGTCATTTGCTAGTAACACTATAAATAAGTCTGTTTGGGCACAGTAAAGGCTAGGACCGATATGGTTCTTGTGGGGAACTATGCATTTCCGCCTTGTGATTATCGTGTTAGTAATAAATCAGTTTTCTCAAATGACCGATTCAGTTGTAAGTGGCTCTTGTTTTTATCCCCAGATATCTTGGTTCGCATCTTAGCTAGAATATCGGCTATTATTAATAGGGCATTTTGATAGTTATTCTACGTTCCTCCTGGCATATTAGCCTAAAAGGTTTCATATTTCACCTTAGAATAGTTCGAACCGACTTTCTGTTTGTGTTAAATCTTTTTTCGACTCGTTGTTCATTATTATCTTCACATGTCGCATTCGACGAAATAATACTTAGCTGTAGATCCTGACTATCAGACAATGTTTTAAACGATGCGCCTGTTTCACATGCAAATTAAATAAGTTTGTGTAAAAGAAAGATGTAAAACATTTCTTTATCTGAAACCCAAAGTTGATTTACCGATGTTGAAAACATTCTGGTTTGATCAAATTCTACGTCCACCACCACAAGGTCAAACTGAAGTGTCCAGGAACGGGGTTAAGATAACAATAATGAATCGTAAATTCAGAATATTACATTACGAAGGAATTTGTGGCTTAAATGGTCGCCTCATATTGTTAGGATAGTAAAGTCTGAGAGGAAACGATGGGCTGGGCATGTAGCTAGGATGGGGGGGGGGAACAAGGAATGCATACACGTCTAGGAAAAAGCTCACTTGAAGATGAAGAAGGATGCAGGAAGATTCTTTATTTTATTATTGGTACTGCAATATTAAATAATTTCAAACGCTGTACACCTACGTGAAACTCAATTTTCTGCCCCCCATCTGTGAAAGTCCTACAGGTTTGTGATACTTTTTAAGTATGTCATGGGCAGAGTCCGCCAGCTACATAATTAACGCTAATAACCCTTTCCTCGTCAGAATAGCAGAACCACTGGACACTAAAACTGGTAGGAAGACATTTATATTCCCACATCACCACGCAGCTGCTCCTCGTGACGAAATTACGAAACATAAAACAATGTAAAATTGCACGTGGTTTCTAATGATATGAACCGATGGCGCTGATATTAATGTGCGTGGCATCCACTATTCAATCAGAATCATTTGTCTTGCCGTCTCCAATCTTAAAACTTCAAAAGTGATATGTATTAATCTGAAGTACATTTAACACTAATTCATAATTCACACATGACATATGCACTGATAAATACACAGTACATTGCAATAAACAATGCACTGAACGATGCATAATGAGAAATTCCATAATTTATACTCTTCACCAAATATTATGATGATGCTTAAATTAGGGAAAATGAGATGGATGAGGCACGTAGCGCTTGTGGAAAGCGAGAAATATGTACGTCATTTTAACTGGTACCAATGAAGGGAAGACACCACTCGGAAGACCTAGGCATAGATGGGAGAATAATTTTAAAACAGATCTTAAGAAAACAGTGTGGATCTTAGGAAAATAACGCTTAATATAGTTATAATTACTTCATGCGTAGTAGAACCAAGCTGTAGTAAAACGTTTGAAAGTACCCAATTCGGCCCATAGGTGACCCTGTGTGCATTTTAAATATGTTACGTACTTTTCTGTTTTCAATTGTACATCTTTCTGATGATAATTATAGGCTCAGTTGTTCCCTCTGTTCTCGGTCAATGTGTAGAGATATTGAGGTTAAATTTATGTTCACGTAATAATTCCGAAGAAACAGCTTACCACTGGAATAGCAAAATCATTTATGTTACTGGAGCTAGTTTTGATTTAAAGATAGGCCTACATTCTAACCTCTTTTTACACTTTTTGCGCTTGTATTTTATACTTCCTGTACACAAAACGAAACCCAAATATTTACAATAGATTCTTGCATAGGTTCTTTCTCGTCATCTTGAAGTTGTTTAATTCCGAATGTGTTTCTTTCCTCTGAATGATCAGCGTTCTACATACCCAGGCTATGTATTTATATACTAGACCCAAGCATTCCAGGCAGGGTTTTGTGGTTATGACGACAACAGAAAATAAATGAACTGGTCAATATACAATACAGGCCGAGAACACACAACAAACTTGTAAATCAAATTATAAAACAGTGAATATCCGAATCTGAACCGGATGTTAAAATTTAATTATTTTATTTATTGCCCGAAGGAATAATAACTGATATACGTGAGTAGCCTGTGATCATAACTGCAAATTCTTGCAACAAAGGACACTGGGACTTCAAGGTACTGCAACTTAAACTTCTTTTTAGAAAACTTAGGTACATTAAAAATATACATGGCATACTCTACCATTCAGAATATTTTAATTAATTGTCAGTGTCATATAAAGTATAAAGTAATCTAGCTATTCTGACTCATGGATTACTGTATACATTTTTAAAAGTCTTTGAGGGATCCAATATTCATTTAGCATAAATCTGCCAAAGAAATTAAGGACCACGACAAGAGATTTCAAGGGATAAGTTTTCTCATGCCATAGAATGTGAATGGCTAGCAGAAATCAGATCCTGATTTTCTGTCTTTATGCACCAATCAATGGTGGGTGAACAAATGTTACTTTTATAACATGCTCAACATTTTAAACTATCATAATTATATTAATGCGCGCTGGTTCGAGTCTCGGGGGGAGAGAAGAAATTTTCTCATGAGCTTTCGACCAGTGTTTGGGACTGGTGCCAACCCAGCATTGTGAGGAAATTGGGGAGCTACAATGGGTAGCGTAATCCGGTCAGGAAAACTAGCAATGGCTGGGGTTCGTCGTGCTGACCACACGTCACCCTGTATCTGGTTGGATGATCGTTCACCTCTGCTTAGGCATGTGAACGTGAGGCCAGCAGTCAAGCTAGTCGGCTTGGGCTCTCTGGAGCTGTTACGCCTCGGATTATTATTATATTAAGTGTCACTATAACACTAGAGTATCTCTTTCTGTTCTTGATGTCCTAATGCATAACGCTTAAATATCAATTATGGGCAATTGATTCTGCATTGTTTCCAGCAACTGAACAGAGGAAATGAGAAAACTCATAAAATCTTGACAGGAAATCTGGTTTCTGGATTTTATTTGCAGACCTAACTGAATGCATTATTTTAGTGACAATATTTCTTTCCTGGAGACAGAAGTATGCCTTTTCCTTTATTTACATCCAGTCAAATATTCATGATTTATATCAATATAAAATATAACTAAACAGATTGAATATTATAAGTCGTACATAAATAACTCAGAATTTGCATTGTTTGGTGTAAGTGCAATTTAAATAATACAAAATGATGACAGTGTACCAGATTTATATTTATGTCATTCTGTACAAGTTTTATTTTCAAAATGCTCAACTGATTCTGACTAGCACTTGTCAGCATTACCAACACATCGCAATAAATTCCCCCGTTCCTACGAACGTTTATAAACAGAATACACAATGATCTGCTTTCTGCACTGTTTGACAAATTATTTAATAGATATTAGTAATTTCTCCAGCATTTTACACATGATCACATGCAAATTAGAAGTAATACTTAACATAATCATTAATCATGATTTCTCATGACTCAACTGTAATCATATTTATAATTTAAAAATTATCGTACAAAGTTCATAATATTTTTTTCCAGTTTTCTCTCATTTTCTGTGTGTTATTTATTGACTTCTACATCGGCTTCACTTTCATCCCTTTACTCCACCCTTTGATGCCCTGATTTGCTGGAATAAAAGAGAAATTTCACATGATTTTTCTATCGTAGATAAGCACAAAGTGCGTACATTAAAATCACATCTATATACTGAATGTAATATGATTTAAAAATAATGAACTTATTAATTCTAGAACTAGCAGGACAGATATACAGACCTAAAACCTATCAAAATGGAGGAAATAATAACTGTAGACCTCTTTTCTGTAGGAAAGAAATATTCTGACATTTCATTCACAGAACCGAGGTAAAACTTCAGAAGTAAAATATATATATAAAAAAAATTGGTCCCAGGTTAGAAGTTAGCAGGATGAGGTCTTGTATTGTCCGCGAGGCACAAGAGTAGACCTGACATCTTTGAGGGAGGTGGGGGTAGAATTCTGCGCTACTAGAAGATCGAAAAACACCCGCAGCTCATACAGGCCGTACATCGTGAGCTAATGTACTGACTGACTGATAGCACGATGTTCTTAGGTAAGGAATACATCACCGGCGTGTGCGCAGAACCCACTTCCCCCCTGCCATGGCTGACAAGGCCACGTCTACTCTCGCGCCTCGCGGACGATAGGTATCCTTTTGGCTAGCATACGTGGTCCCAGGCAATTATACTCAGAATAAACCATGTGCTAACATAGATTAGATTGTAACACAGAACTGGAATAACCCCTGTCAGCTCCTCAATTTTATATCCAAGACATTCAATGACTTGTCATGTGTGATTTTAAATTGTGAGTATGCAGAGACTGGTTAAAAAGGCCACGACAGTCACGTCACCAGATGTGGCCACTGATTACAGGCTAAAGAAATTGAATTATTAAGGAGAGACAAAAAGAAAAGTATTAAATACAAAACAATAATTTTGCCTGTTGTTTTGTTTGGGTGTGAAACATGGTCTCTCACTCTGAGGTAGGAACATAAATTGGACATGTTTTAGAATAGGGTGTTGAGGAGGAGGATATTTGGGCCTAGAGGAGAAGACGAAGGGGTATGGAGAAAACTGCATAATGACGAGCTTAAAAATCTGTACTCCTCCCCCAGTATTGTCAGGGTGATTAAGTCGAGAAGAATGAGATTGGCTGGGCATGTAGCGCGCATGGATGGGACAGGAGGTGTGCACCGGGTATTGGTTGGGAAGCCTGACGGGAAGAGACCACTGGGGAGACCTAGACGTAGATGGGTGGATAATCTCAGGCAAGATCAATCGAAGATAGGAGTTGAAGGAGAATGGATTCTGTCGGCCCAGGACAGGGTCCGGTGGAGGACTTTGGTTAATTCGGTAAGCCATCTAGTTAGTTATTAAATAATACTTACAGACAGTGGTTCCCTTTCTTTACGATAAGTAACCTTGCAATCAGAGAAGGGGTTTATTCCATCCACTAGTTTGCATGTGCAGTCCTGATGCTGTTCTGTTTCCAGAGACTCAGCAATGCGATGCGACACCACTTGCAAGAACTGTTTTCTGGCAGATGCCTTTCCATCTAAGAAGTTCTGAGCAACATATGTCGCTCCATAACTCTGCAAGAAAAAGTTTTGCATTGGTTTAATCTCTTCCATTGCAATTTTATTTTACCTCTATATGATCTTTGGAACAGATTTCCTTAAGCAGAGTCTGACATAAAAACACAAAAGTTTGCCCACCATTAGATTTCACCCACAATTTGTGATCTATGAGAAAGATATTAATATATATAACATATTAAATGAAACACCAACTTCCGGAATTCATCACGGTATTTTTCTGTCTATTTAAGAGATGGAAAAGAAAAGCAGTGTACATACTTCAAGAGCAATGGGGATCCAAATGTTGTTATTGAAGGTAAGAACATTGCGTAGTTCTGTGCTACCTTCCAAGACCTTCTTCTTTGCATCACTCAGCAAGTAAACGTGTTGGGAATCAAAACCTAATGAAAAAAACAAAACAAAGTATGTTTATCTGACCACCACTTATATAACCCTCCAATACTTTTAATATATGTCATAGGGAAACATGCCTGCTACAGAAGTTTCATTATGTTACAGTAACCCTCTAAAAGAGTATTTATCTACATTCAAATCATTCACTCCCCATAAATATAATACATTTTTATTTTGTTTGTATTGCTTCCTATATAAACAGATTCTGCCACAATTTTAATTTTACTTGTAACTTTCATACTAAAGGCAGTGACAATTAAAAATGCAAAATATAAGGTATCCCTGGGAAATAGGATCATACAAATTTAATTCAGATTTAAAATATGTGAAGCAAACTAAGCTAGACGGATAGGTTAACACTATGAACTATTTCACCTGCCTATATAAAGGTTTTTAGTGTTCACAGTAGAGCAGCTTTTACATAATATATTTTATGGCCGTGACTTCATATTGACCATATCGGCTTTCTCAAATATAGCTGCACGCTTCAAAGTTTTCCAAAAGTCCAGATTTTCAGTCTAAATAGTGACACATACCTACAACCTGTTTGACAGTCTTGACATCCTTGTTTGTTAAATGCAGATCATCTACAGGCGCTATAACATGGAATGCTATACCACGATCATGTAAAACACTTGTTGAGTACAGAGCTGCCAACTGCTGGAGCTGAGAAGAAAAGATTTTAACAACTGTACTACAGTCAGAGTTTGTCTACGAAACGCTGCTCAGCAGAAATTCTGACATTAACGGTCTCTGAGTCTACCTTTAATTTTTAAACTTTCAAAATGTATTTGAAATGTCTTTAATATTCAGCAGATCAGAAGTAAATTATGACAGTGAATATAAAAGAACCAGTAAGGCAATGTTGTAACATTTCAGGAAAATCTAGGGACTAGAAATTCACTAAAGAGATTGATTCAAATTGTTGGGTTATTTAATGTTGTTTAAATTGCAGGTTATGTATAATGTCAGGTGAAATAGAAAGTTGATCATAAATAGTGAGTTGGTAATGATTTGTAATTGAGTGGTCATGGCCTATTTTAAGGTATAATATTAACATTTCCTGGTGTGACAGAGAAAACCCTCAGTCAAGATAGACTGTGGCCTGGCTGAGATTTTAAGTTGGTAACTCTTAAATACAAGTTTACAGTATTACCATCAAACAAGCCATCACTTGATAAAAAAGGCCAAAAGTTTGTTTCTGTTTTTGTGCGTATAATATTCCTTTACCAAACCTTAGAAGACATTGGTAAATGTCAGGATAAAAATGAAGTGTGGATTCAAAGGAGCATAATTAAGGAACTGAATAAAACCTTGAAATCTGCACGAATTTTAATCTAGGGAATCTAAACATGTAATAATACCTGTAGCTGTGTTTTCAGTGTAAGGAGGCTTCTGTATCACTTAGAAAAAAAACTAGTGGGAGTCAATTGTACATGGTAATAAGACCAAGTTCAGCACTGATTCACTTTGACACAAGTGCTGATTTACAAGATAAAAGTCACATAATATTAAAAATGAATTGCAGCACAATATGTTATACATTACACAAGATTTAAATACTTACTGAGACACTAAATGCACTGGTCTTAGCCGAAGCTACAACTCCCACGAGCACCTTAGAAGTGCCAATCTTAAATGGATATCTAGATGCAAACTGGTAGGCACGGGAAGATGGTCCATGGGCCAGCTCAGACTCAATAAATGCCTTCAAGTACCTTATCTTATTCTCATAGGTATCCAGCTTCAGACTAAATACATCCACGTGGTCAGTGAACTTGATATTCTTTGTCTTACCTGTAAGTATACGTTAATTATTTTCAAACTGATAAATTCCAAACTTACAACAAACTTCATGTGTTCTTACACATAATAACATAGTAACAACCGTGGAATCTTTAACAGTTACAATACTTCATGTCTACATTATATATAGGAACAGAGATATTAAAATTAATAAAGTCAAGACAAGACAAATATGCAAATGCAATTAAATGTTATGACAGTAAAAGTAAATATGAAGTTAGAGGTGACAATAATAGTAAGAATGTCTTAATCAGCAGCAAAAATCTATGTTTGTATTCATATAATGATGCAGTGGTAAGAAGAAAAAGATTATGACACGCCGACAATAGCATACATTGTGTAAATGTAAATATGCTGAATATTTTGCAGGCATTTCTAATCTTTAAGACATTAATGTATGTGGATAAGTTTTGACATAGTGATCATTCTGTGAAATGCTGTCTTAAAAAGTGGCTGAGAGCAACCCTAATTGTATTATGATAGTTTTAAGTTAGATTATTACTATGCTTTGTAGGAAGTGGTAGATGACTTACCCTCAAAGCTGATCTTTCCACCAGTTGTATATACTGCGGGGTGATAGAGTGTAGACTCTCCAAAACCAATTAATGTGAAGTGTACATCACTACACAACAGAATTTTGAGATCAGCAACAGTAAATAAATAAATAAAAACACACATTACAATGATTTACATTCTGTCAATAAATACACATGTATTCTCTTCAATATGAAATTCTATATCAAATCTAAAACTTCTTGACGATGGTGAAGAGTCAATTGAATAAAAATTTCCTTGGATATTATCCATTGTCTAGTAAATATAAAACGTAAAAACGACGTTTCGGAGATGGGACTCTATCTCCGTCTTCAGGTTCCTACACAGTTGGGCCCACTAGATAGAGCTAATCCCTATCCCCGGACCTAGACGATGGATAATATCCAAGGAAATTTTTATTCGATGAAATTCTAGTCAAATAATTAACTTTAGTTCAACAAAAGATACCCTGAACAAGATGAATAAATTCAAGCCTGAGGTGGGAGAACCCAAAGAGTGACATTCCTCATTCTTTACTACTTTAATTCTGAATATTTACATCGATAAGGTCTCTATAGCCAGCATGTCTAAAGTACGCTTTCACCCTTCAACAGATCTTTTAGAACATGTTCAACCCGCATTAAAAGCAAATTTGAAATGTCACTTACTTACCTTAACAAGTTTAAATTAGATTTAAAGGTGAAGTAATTTTAAATAAAACACAATGAATATGAATGATTCAGAGTACAGACTATTTTAGTTGTAAGCATGGCAGTAAACATTAAATTTTCTTTATAATTCTGCAAAGAGCAGAGTAACAATGCAGTACTAATGAAACAATGACTACCAGTATCCCCTTCCTAACTGAAAGAGGTTTCACATGAAGTGAGAAAAAAATGTTAAAATTAATAAAATTATAACAATATGCATGCTTACTTGATTCCTTTTGTCTTCAGTTCACTGGAGAGAGTTGTAACAAGTGGTGTAACAAGTTCCTTGAATAATTCACTGTTGCGTATATCTTGCTCCACAACAATCACGACATCAGCTGCTCTCTGTGGTACTTTCACACTGACCGAGTCACCAGCTTCAACTGAAGGACCACTTACTACCGAACAGTGAACTGTAATCATATATGCAGATGCAATTAACACGTGTTCCATGGTAACATCAGCAAAAGACTGTTTGGTCGTAACTACAGTTGTAATCCCTTTTATGTCTATCACAAGTTTTTGCGGATGTTTTAAAGGACTCTGTTAATGCATGCAGGCTAACAGTGTTACCATGTATCAATGTCTATTTTATGAAGAGGTTTGAATGTTATACATGGACGGTACCTTTCAGTAGTGAACAGGTAAGATCTGAGGTTGTCAATTTGAAACTTACTTAATTTTAAATTAAGAAACTCTGCAATTAAAGAGAAAGGGAAATAATTATTTAACACCATACTATAAATTAAAACTTATGCATGAGAGCAAATGAAATAATTTTCTGACATCTGTTTTCTAAAGATCTGATGTCTATAATATGTGTCTCTGTCTCTACACTTGTAAGGGGTGCAGAGACTGACTCCAAGACTCACTATCCTCTTTCTTACCACTAAAGTGGTCAATGTTAAAAAAAAAAGTAATAAAGTAATACTATTCAACACAAACTATTTAGTTCCAAAAATGATAAAGTCACTGACTGTAAAACAGTTATTTTCCCATATATGAAAAGAAGCTTTCATGGTGACTAAACTCAATAAAATCTTCCTGCATCATCAGCCATGACCGTATACCTGAGCCTTGAGTACCGACCCCATAGGATTTTACTGGGTAATTTTTTTTAGTTCTGGTAGTATATGACAGTGACTGGAATATGAAACAACCATCAGTTGAGAAACATCAGTTAGTTAACTCACCACAGTCTGATGGTATAGACACAAAAATGTACTGTCTGCGAACAAGAGCTGCATATGCTGCAGCAGTTGAGCATGCAGCCTCCTTCTTTGCTTCAGAAGTAGCTGCATCAGCAACAATATGTGAGCAAGCTTCTCGGAAAGGAGCAGATGGAACGAATAAGTACCCCAACCTGAATGGTTAGTGCCAAGCAAGACATCACTAATTACTACATTTACCAGATATAATCTATTCTTCTCCTCAGCCACCTGAACTGTCACAGAGTTTACGTCCTTTATAAACTTGTCAGAAGAATCTTATGAAATGTCTTACTGTATCAAAGAAGAAAGGTTATAAGTTTGTTTTCTATAGATCTAAATTTACCTTTAAAACTTCTGTTTTATAATTTGTTGCAAATGTAATGAAACATAATATAACATAACATCAGAGCTTTCAGAATCAATGACTTCCAAATTAATTTTTTGTGTTTCAGGTGGACGCTTCAATGTTAAAATTGTTCATAAAAGACCCAGATGGTAATTTAAATATCATTAAACTGTTTGTTGCTTTTATACCTCAAAGATGAGGCACTTCCAAATACATGGGTACATTCTGGTGGTTCTGGCATGTCATGATCATGATGAGTTGTTCCACTAACATCTTTACATGATGGGTTAATTTTCCAGCTGTTACCGAAGTCATTTACCTTTGACACAACCTGACAAACACAACATAATAAATTATTTCTGATACTAAACATTCATAAATCTGAAGTAAAGCTTTAATTTTTGGATTGTGGTGCTCTGGGTTTAGACACTGTGTTAGATACTATGTAGTCTCATTGCTTGTTGATGTTGGTGTTTGTGTTCTGGGTTATAACATCGTGTGGACTTGTAGGTACATCCCAACATTTTTGAGAAACACTGGAACATACCTACAAGTCCACGTAGTGTTACAACTCAGGACACCAACACTGACATCTTCACTGCTGTGAAAACCTGAAATCTTATCACAACCAAGAGTTCCATTTCTTGACCCCAGTTAGAGACAGAATAAAACCTTTTTAACCCAGCGTGGTGTGGATTATTCTTTTCTTTTCTTCTTTCTCATCCTCCATGGTCTGTGACCTAACAATATAACAGTAGTATTGCTCTGTACCTTTACTATAACATATAACTTTAGTAGAAACATGGCTTTTAATGATTTATTATTTTGGTCACCTATTGGTGTTGCTATGTAAAGCTAATTTTACAGTGTGAAGTACTAGGGTAACTGCTTGAGCATTATAATTAGATGTACCATTCATATTTAGTACCTTACATTTACATGTACATTTAGTAATTACTTAAAAATGTTCAGGTGCAATCATATAATTAAGAAAAGTGTTTATTTCCTGTTCAAAAACATAGATTTCTGCAAACACACCTGTGTATGAGCACTGTAATTAACTGACCTGTCCATTAGGCTTCTTGAAATCATCCCAAGGCTCATAGTCAAGAGCACCCAGCAAGCCACGCGTCTTCCCGAAATAGAATCCAGACACAGAAAAGAAGCAGAAGTTGTGGTTTGTCTTACACGTAACGTAGAGGCCAGCATCATGAAACACGTTCACACTTTCAAAGTCTTTCCATACTTTAAAGTTACCCTGTATATAAGGGTACTCTGCAGGATGCCCATCTGCTGTGAACTGTTAAAACAAAGAAAAAAATTGACAAAAGTGTTCCCTACATTCATCAAAACAGTTTAAATGCAAAATTCCATGTGTCTCTAACAGACAATACTTACTGTTGAGTCCTGGAAGAATTCCACACTATTTTGTTGGTCACTAATAACAATTGATTTTGAAGTGTAGTCAAAGGCAACAGAGAAGTTTCCATCAACAACATCTTGGACCAAAATATAACTACATGTACCCTTGAAAGTGAAGTGACGTCCATCAAGGGTGATGAAGTGATATAAGTCTATCAGTACTCCTTGAGCTGTAATTTGAAAATAAATCATAATACTGTATGAATACAAGCAACTCTTGATTAATACTTACAAATTATAAGAAGTAAACTATGTAACACAAGATATTTATTATATACTTGATCCATATGACGAGGTCCATATCAGACTCTAGCACATTCATAATTAATGGCATTACAGAAATGTATTCCAGTAGTAACTTTCCTTGCTATATTTTAAAATTAAAGCCTGCTTCTGCTGTGTAATATAGGTACACTGAACACTGCAATGCTGTCTGATTGGTCTAACATTGGCAGAAGAGACTGTTTACTAAAACCACCAAATTCCAAAAGTATTTACATCAAAAATAATCTCTCTCTCTCTCTCTCTTTTTTTATACAAAGAGGCTAAGAAAATATCCAAAGGTGGTGCAAATGACAATGCTCAAAGCTTCCTCCTTTCTGCCCACTATTGTATTTTTCTCAGCCCCCTCTGGCCTGTCACTAGCCCAAATCACTTGTTGCTAGTAAATGTTTTCACTATCAATATTTGCATGAACAAAATGGGTGGACAGCTGGAGAAGAATTTAAGAGAATATGCTGGAGGAGTAGAGTAACAGTTCAAAATAGATCTGGAGGGGATAAATCCATGGGACTCTTTTCGGCAGCATCAGAATAAGTGAACTACAATCTCATTTGCAGAACTAAAAGAGTTAAAAATACACATAACATGTAACAGACATATGTATTTGTTATAAATTTTCATATATTTAATTTCATATTTGGATGCTGATATATTAGTACTAAGAATGAAACAATATTTCTTTAGAACTTGTAATTTCAAACGTGTCAGAATGAATAGTTAGTCTCTTATACCCTAATACTAACAAGTGGGCACAATGAAATGGCAAATACCTACCCTGTAACTCTTGATTTGTTGGCCTCTTTCAGACAGTATTGAAAAAATGGTAATTTAAATCTGGTTACCATGTTATTCAGAGTGACACATAAATTAGAACATAAGGGGTTAGAGTATTTATGATTTTCCTCAAAATTAAAATATTAATGACAGTAATAGTTTCATACCTTTGAATGGTGGTATCAAGTCAAGAGGATTGATGGTTGGCCTGAAGGTGTGAATGAGTTCTTGTAGTGTAGGTAGCTCACTGAGACCACCAGTTGCAAGGAATAGTAGAGGACTGAACTTGACTGCTACCAACTTTGGCAATTCTAACACTGCATTCAGTTCAAATGGTAGCTGAAAACAAATATATTGACAGTAACAAATATTTTTTGTAAGTGTTCTGAATTTCTAATTGCTGCATGATAAATTATCATCTCAACATGGAAATAAATTCAGAAATACAGAAATGAAGGTAAGAGTACTGAAAACAAAATAATTTTCTAATAAGAACAGAACCATCATAATTAAAGTAATTTAAATTGCTTCACTTCTGAAAATTTTAAAAATTGATGTTTTGGTTAATGTCGCATACTGGCAAAGACTAGCAGATTGAAATGTATCCAAAAGTTGTTGCATTTTAATGCTTCATTTAACTCAAATGTCAGAGTGGAAACAAATTAATCTTTGCTTGATGCTATATAGTCTGAGTTACTGACAGGGTCATTAAATAAACCATATATAAATAAACAGATATATGTTTAATTCCAATGGACAGCCAGCTGTGCTGGAACATAAGGGAAACACAAAACCAAAATGCAGAAATATGAATCATGAAAGGGTTAACAGTTGCTATGCATCAAACATTTCTTATGCCAGAATTAATTAAAAATTGACAAGAACGTCAGTATTAGCAAATAAAACCATTTTACTTATACAATTAACTGTTTAGCATAACTCTTTTTAAAAGGTGACCTATTTACTAGTTTATACATTTAAATATTGTTTAGTATCACATTTACATGAAAATAGGGATAAAGTTATATGATGGGCAAAAAATAACACCTTATATGACAAACTTCGTGTTTGCCTAGTTTTCAGAAGAATTTTATTTGTTAATTTTTCTTCAAAAATGTATTTGTATCTGCTCACCTGAAGTCCAAGGAAATTTGCTCCTTCTGTTTTTTCTGGAGCAGGGAGGTGCTTGCGAACAACAATGAGAAGTGATTTCAGAGTCTTAAGAGCTTTATTAAAAATAATGTGCAATTCCTCAACATCATTTACCGTTTCCTTGTTCACATGCTGTAAATAAGAATACAATAGAAAATAACATGAATCTACAAAAGATGTCTGAAGGTAACCATCTTAAACTCTTTAAGACATACATACATATATACATATTTATTACATTCCATGAATCCATAAGTTATTCAGATGATAATAGGATGTGGGATACGTTATAATAATACTATACACACACACGAGTGTGCTTTCTGTAAACTCCACTTTTCCTTAGAACAAAATTTTCTTTAACAGAAATAAATACATATAAATTACAAAATGCAAGTTTTCCATAGGGAGATAAGTCTTCTCAAACAGTGTAATGCACCATACAATATCTTGTTTTTATTTCTATCCAGTCCTGTATGTATGTAAATGGGGTGGGCACCAAGGCAACCCATGCACTGTGACCATTATCTGATCTTTTATGCATCCCTGTTCTTCCAATCTGCCAGTATCCCTGTGCTAGCGACAAAGAACAGTATCTTACTTAACAGGATCTCATAATAGTCGCCTGATTTCAGGAAGAATCTTCCTAATTAGAAAATTCGAAACTGTCTTAGATGAACTGTTACATCATAATCCTGATGATGGAGATGCAGTTGGTCCTTGAAATGTTAATTTTTAATCAACTGACATGGTTGATAGCCCAGGAACATTTTATAATGGTAGCAATATTCAATAGTTAAATGATGTAGTCAAAAAATATTAACTCACTCTAATACTTCAATGAAAGCAGGCTTTCCAACCATTCAGTAACACTATAACTGTCCCCAGTATTTATGAAGCACCACACCATAAAGACGTATGAGGTAGTTGAGGTATAGCACTACTCTTTCTTGATATCAGAAATAGATAGAGGGGAGTGGTCAGTTTCATGTACAGGCTGCTTTATTCCCAGGGAAAGGGCCTTCAGAAACTGCTGGACAGGAGGCTGAAAGGGCCCAGAGACAGTCTGGATGCAAAGGCTAAAAGAGAAATCTATTGACTACTGGGAATCAAACTCAGATAAGAAAAGCCCAGTCAGTCATTATAATGGCAGAGAAAACAAACAATATTTGCTTTAATTGTGGCGAGTCATTATAAAATGAAAGTCAACAGTTATTGGCAACATGGAGTATAGCTATACAGAAATTTTGTTATAATTTTGTGGCATTAATATTAAAGACTGTGAATTATCATTATGCAGGTAACACAAAAATCAACCTTTAAGTAAAATCACATCACAGACATGTGAAGCTATCATACTTTCTAAAATGTGCACACATACCTTTGTAATATAAGTCTCAATAGCTTCAATAAATTCCCTGAGTTCCTCAGCTTGAACAGAATCCTTGAAACCACCAACAACATCCTTGAGTACTACCCATACCTGTTCTGGCAACAAGTTCTGTGAGAGATGACTTACAAACTGAAACAGCAGACAAAATGAAACTTATCTTCAAGATACCATAATTGATTTATACAACATAAAACTATTTTATATTATTTTGCTAACCATTCAATAAAACACTAGAAATTGTATTTTCTAAACAATTACTAGTTTATACACTCTCTACAAGCAACTGCAATCTTTATGAGATTCATATCAGCATGCATTTCATATATACCCTATTTACCAACTACACAATGAAGTTACTTTGCATTCCATTTAAAAATCATCAATTAATATTCACAAATTAAGAACACTGCAAACAAAAATTATTCAATGATTTGTAAGCGAATATGCATCTGGGAACTGAAGCATGTCTCAAAACTCAAGTGTTCATAGAGAAATTGCATATTTCCAAGTTCCAAGACAGTAAACGCTGTTCCCAGCAAATGCCATGGAGTCACTGGGGGGTGGGAGAGAGAGTAGAGGAATAGCTATTAATACTATTCACTCTTGGCCTTGGCACTAGACGGAGGGTTGTGGTCAGTGTCACACATTGGCCACATTTTACCCCCAGGGAAAGGACTTGCCCATGTCCATTTGAAAGGAGGCTAAGTGGGTCCCAAAGCCAGTCTGGATGCAAAGGCTAGAAGAAAAACCCTGTACCTTTAGGTTCTCAGTAGAAACAGATTATTGTTGAATCTGTGCCACAAGCATTGCATGCCACAGATGGGTATCCCAGGATGCTATGTTGCAATAGTGAAAATTCAAGTACACCTATTCTGAACTAGATACAACATATACAAGATTCCTACAAGGCAAGAAATGTGGTGAAAACCTACCAACTTTTGACATTTGGACTGTCCTGCCACCAGGAATACAGTTTATGTGGCAACCAGTGGTCACTGGTGTCAGTAAGAATCAAAGTAGTAATAGAATATATAATATTTTTCTTTCAATAATTATAGAAAGTGTTAATTCAAATAAATACACTTTATAATGCAGGGAAATTAATATTCTTGTTAAACCTTAACACTTAAAACAGAGGAATGCTTAGCTGGGACTTGTGAATAAAACAAGGATACACATGGTAACTTTAATCACACCCAATTGAAATTTATACTGACTTTGCCCTAAATCATTTGTACCTGTTAATTCTGTTTCAGAAACTGACATAAAGAGAAATTTACTTACATACTCATACTGCTTTTTTAAGTTGCCATAGATGGGAAGAGTATTCACTTGGTCTAACAGTACACGGACAAAGACCAACACCTCTTTTCGGATCTGAACAACTGTCTCACCAACAATCTTGCCAATATCTATGTATAATAAATCATATATACATGACATATGAAAACAAGAGTAGTAATCTGTTTTCCAACTTGGAGCACACAAATTTTCCAAAGAAATTTATGATTCTGAATTCATCATTCTTCAAGTTTATATACTATGCATGCAAATCTGTTGTTGATGGAGCTAACAAACACTACAAATTCAATACTGCAAAGAGTGATAAATATGGCTGCTTAAAAATCTTATCGAACATAAGTCACTCTAGTACAAACCAAATTTCTATATTCTGTGTACTTCCTTACACTTCAATAACAGAACATGAAAATAATAAGGAACATTGAAATACATATTCTTGTTTAGTTCAATTCACATTCCTCTTTGGCAATGATAAGAACAAATTTAAAACCCTGTTACAATTTATCCAATATTAGTCATAACACTGCTACTTATGTGAAGAAATTAACATATCAGCAGATAAAGGTATGAGTGAGAGAGAAAGGGATTCTACCTTCAATAAATTCTTGGACCATATGGACATTCTTCTTGATTTCATCTTCATGTTCCTTAATAAAATCAGTGAACTTCAGCAGAACTTTTGAACCAGTTTCTAGCACAACGCTACCCACTGCACTTGACAGATCTAATATTTTGGTGTAGAATTCCTTCACCTTAGGAAGAAGCTGCCAAAACAGATTGTTAAGACAAAATATCAATATAGCATGGTTTAAAAACAGAACTACAGCTGCACATATTCTGTGCAGATACGATTACCAATAATGGAATAATAAGATATCTTAAGTGCATACTACCTTGCTGAATGACTCGTCAAGAGCAGCCCTTACTTTGATCACAACTTCAAGGACACGATCAGCCAGCTCAGTAATTTTCTTACCAAATTCTACAACTACTTTTGTGACTGCATTAACAAATTTCTTCCTGCAACACAGATAAAACCATCAAAGCAACCAACATTCCTAAATTTCCATTTCAAAGGTATTATGTACAACTTAAAATTATAGGAATATATGTGATGTATATTATACAAACAGAACTTATATTTGTAATTACACTGTAAGGCCTTCATTTCTACGTTTTGAATGTCACTATATTTTTTTAATTAGAAAAAAGTTTGATATCATACAAAATTACTGTAAATGATTAATTTTTAAAGTGTTCACTGTTGCTTAGGATTGAGCGTCAAATAAGACTTTCTACTGACTGCTACTTTTGTGACTGTAGCAAACTGCACCAAACCTAAAATAATCAGTTTCAAGAGAGAAGCATTCGCATAACTGTAGTTTGGGATGGGTTACAAATAAAACGTTCTGCAAAAGTTTACTACTGAATATTTTAAAATATAGTAAAGCTTACACAATGTTGATGCTAGATATGTGAAAAATAAAATATATTCAGTGTTCTCTTTGGCATGTATATATAAGTGTTCACTAGAATACTTATCCTTGTTTAATTTACAAATTATTACCCATTGTAACAAGAAATAAGTTTTACTAACAAAGTTTCAGATGCTCCAGTAAATCCTTCGTCATTTTCAAGTTCCTCTTTCAGGGTTTTCAGTTGATTCTGGTAGGAAGAGATAATTTCCTTCACATCAGGCTGAGCCTTCTTCACAGATTCCAAAACATCTTGAAGTTCACGTGTTACTTCTTCACCAATGTCAATGGACACTACTTTCAGCTGCTTTAGGAAAGCCTCAATGCCTTCTTTTGAATGTTCCTGAAATTAAATTTATTTTTCTTTCAAATTTCTGAACTTGTTTTATAAATCACACAAACTGTATTTCTATTTGTAATTACACTGTAAATAATTTCTACACTTTAAATGTGGGTGGATCCCACAGCTTGTCTGGATTCAGAAGCTAGAGGAAAAATAATTTGCCCTTGCTAACCCCCGGTAATCAGATTTGAGGTTTTCATGGTGGTGGGGATGATTATGTTTGTTTGGATTTTGGTGCCATGTAGATTTGTCAGCTTCAACCCTGCAGACTGAAATAGAATGTTTTTCTTAAATGTTGGCATCTGCTGACATGTCTACATGGTGCCAAAACCTAGAACATCACCAACCCCAACAGTCCTCTGTACGACCTAGTTCATGCATTTGTAGCTACATTTAATTTATCATTCTATATTCAGACTGTGATAGTAAACTCATCTATGAATATCAACAGAGACGTAGTCCATTTAATTATAAAATATATCACAGGAAGTTAGGAACAAAAAGATTAATTAAAAATTATACAAAGGCTAATCATAAAATTCTGGGAACGGTTTTATTGCATATCAGTGGACAATAAGCCATTGATATAGACAACAGTTGTTTCTGACTTCAATTCAGCTGGAGAGAAATCACTGATTTGCATTTGTTTTTGAAACACTTATTCGTGTACATGTTTGTAATGGTCATCACATTGTGAAATGTCTGGTATTATGGTTCGACATGTGTTCATCAAGTTCTGTGTTATTCTTACAAGAATGGACAAAGAAACCTATAAACTCTTAACCATTCTAGAACATCTATGTGGTATGCATGATTGCAAACTGAGCAAACACGTTTTAGTGTCTATGACTAAATTTACAGTGACAGATGTACTGCCTATCAAGTGTTTTATTTGGATGTTATGGTGGGAACTGGAAATCAGGTTTTTGGATGTTCATCACAACAATATACTACCTCAGTTCATGCTCTCCATAAGGAAATTAATCAAGCACAACATTGCACTGATACCCCACACTTATAATCTCCAGATTTAGCACAAAGTGTAAGTGATTTCAGGAAGTTACAGACATCATGCAAAGTCTAACACAGAAAACAAACATCATCCTGCAAGAACACTACAAGAAGTGCTTTAACAAGTGGCAGTAACACTGGAATATTTGAGGGGGAAAGCATCATTAACAGGTACAAATTTTAGTTTTTGCAAAGAAATACCAGTCCCAGAATTTGTAACACATAAATACTGTTTACGTCTTCACTTGCTGCCTTATTTCACTAACCATATCTTATTTCTGTATGGAATCTCATGTCAACTGTAAGGAGATTATACTGAATTTAACTATTAACCTACCAGTATATGCTTCAATTCATCTGTTGACCATGTGAAATGTGTTTTGAAAAAGTTGTTATCAGTCAGATCCAAACCAATATATACGACATCATTCTTGGAACCATCGATTACTGTCGATACACGAATACTGAATCCAGTCAACACATCATGCACTATGTCTACCACTAGCTTCCTGTTGGGTACACCTGAAATGAAAGTGGAAAACTACAGAACAAATGTCAAATAAAATGTTGACAGTAATGTCTGTATGCTTCAGAATGCACTGCTGCCTTTACCAGCTCAAAGTCTCAGTCATACAAATTGTCTTATTCTCTGTTTTATTTCAATTTATATTACACATTTATTTTGTCAATAAATCATACCTACTCTATTTAGCAAATATGCAATACAGTCCATCAACTAACACAACTGAATTATAATAAAAAATTCTCAAATTTATTCTCTTAGTTTTCTTATTTGTTGCATTATTCCAAAGTAATCAAAGTTTTAAATAATATTGAATGATTTTACTCACAGCTACTAAAACAGAGCCTTCATGGCATACTCATATTTAGTTTTATTTCTGTTTGCTCTAGATGAATTTCTTTACAATATTTATACAATTTTTTCATCTGATAAATTCATGTCTTTAGCATACACAAGAACCTGACTTAGGTCATTCAGTTACTTCTAATTATCTTCAGTTTTCCTAATGGAATAGTCTAAAATAGATTTAAAAAGTCTTGGGATTACAATGTTTCCTTCTTCTAGTCACTGTGAACTGGAGAAGTGAGAAACAAATTATAACCTATAAGAACTTCTGATGCATACAAGATTTGATTAATCTAACAAGTTTCTCTGATACTGAAAAAAAATCACTAACACTGTTTTACATTACATTCATCTGTTCTAATTAAAACATACGTTTTTAAATATCACTTATGTAATATTCCATTTCACTCCCATATTTTCTCCTAAATGCCTTCATATGTAAATAATGTTAACTGGACCACAGAAGCAACAGAAAATATTATGTAAAAGATCCACAAAAATAAGATTCCATGGAAATTAAAGAAGCCAATTATGTCTCCTCTTTGTTCATAAATAGGTGCAATAATATGGAGATAAAGTTACAAACAAGAATGAAAAGGTGTACTCTTTGGAGTACTTAAAATTCCAAAGCTGTTATTTATACCATGTCACAGACAATGATTTCAGCACAGAAATTAACAAAATTACAAATGCTACAATGGTACCCAAATCATTGTTGTAAAATGTGCTGAAAGACATGATGACAGAGAGACTTACAGATGGGCCAATAAGGTGTTCATCACTTATACTGAAGCATAAATAAAACCAAACACTCTGACTGCAATGTCCTGCTGATCAGTGGAACAGTTCCACCAAAATTAAAACTTATATACAAAAACTATGATTTCACAATAAAAACAACTTTGTAGGATTTGATATTCTCACGGTGGTGAGTATGTAGATGGTTGTTTACTGGATTGTAGAAAACTTCTAACAGAATACACATTGCTACAACCCAGAAGACAGTCATCAAAGATAACTTACATTTAACAGTTCATATGAAAGCAGATGTACTACTAATTTACAAAATACTAAAGTGTACTTACTCTTCCTGAAAAACGTATGTTTGCTGCCAACTGGAAAATTAATTACTCTATCAACTTCAAGAGGCTGGAGTCCAAAGAAAAACACCTCTTCTTTTACAGACTTCTGATCATTTGACAATGAAGAAATGTGTTGTTCAATCTTCAGGAGATCAGATGTAGGAGACTTGACCTGTTAAATCCGAGTATTCCATTTGTTTCAAGTGCACCAATATTTTATCAGTAGGTGATTACAATGTTATTAAATACAATTTTCATTGAGAAATTTGTGTAATGTTAACAAACTGAAACCCTTGAAATTACAGACTGAACAGCTCTTTCATCAAATGTGTTTTCTAAGAGATTTGTAATTTTGTAATGTTAAGAAATTTAGTGTTATTAGCCTTCTTATCCATGCATAACTAGAATGCTGGGGTAATGTATCACTTATATGTAAATAATCATATCACATACAAACACAGTACAAAGGGCTAAAAGATTATCACTTATATGCTGGACCCAGTCAACATTAGTTTAATTTTAAATTTCAAGTTTTAATAATTTCAATGTTATAACTTTTAATATATTTACTTTAATTGCATCTGACATCTAATTTTCAGTAAATGCCTGAATTACCATATGCAGAAACATTTTTCCATTCTAAATAAATGCATGAAAATGAAGCTGAAGATAACACTAAAACAAAACATGTTGCATAATAATTAATTCCATTATTTAATTATAAACAAATTCTATCAGTGAAGTTCTTATACTACTTATTGTAAGTAAGATGTAATAATATTCTTATGTACTTTCTGGTTTATACCACAAAATGATGCTGAAATATAAAATAAGTTTAACATAAAATTAGAAAAGATGTATTTTTTTTAATATTTCATTAAATCTCACACTGAGAGTGCTTAGAAACTTCATCCAGGGAAAAATTTAATAATGAAGAGACATACTTACATAAACAATTTGATCAGTAGCAGTGAGCTTAACCAGGATTTTGGCTTCTTTTTCTTTATGCTGCACATCCTTGTAAGTGAGGACTAAATTGTGCCCAATGCCACTTGTCGAAACTTCTGCCCCACCTTGAAGAGTGACGTCAACAATCTAGCCATAACAACAAAGAATTTAGGGTAATATGAGTTTCCAGAGATCTTTGAAAGACAGAGTGTGTGGGTGGACTTGGTATTAGCAGCACTAAAATTTTGATTCTACTACATTTTATTTTACATCAAAAGCAAACAAGAACACCTTTGAATTTATTATTTGTTGTTGGAAAAATTTCAGAGTTGCTCAATGCCTCCATCATCAGAGTAACTAAAAGAATACACTGCAACAACCCAGAAGATAGTCATCTTCATACTCAGTAACATGAGAACTTGAAACATCATTCCAGTGATGTCCACTCACCCTTCCCTTCGCGCCTATGTAGCCTGTGACATTGAAGCCATTTGAAACTTGGTTCTTCACAAGGTTGGCAACAAGAGTAACTTTCTGGTTCTTCTTGGCAAAGACATCAAAATCAATTGTAACATCTAGCAGCGTATCTTGTTGTAACAGGGTGGCTTTGCTTATTACTGCAATGTCCTGAAAACAAAAACATGATTTCAGAAAGATATTTAAAAGAATCTTTTAATACTGAAATAACAAACAACATTTAATGAAAATACAACTTCTGGCATTCTTGTAGCTCTGTGGGGATTACATCTGCCCACAAGTAGAGCTTGATGTTTGACTCTATGGGCTAATCAACAACCCTTTCACTCAATAATCAAAACTGACATTAATATTTCTGATTTACTGTTAATTATTTTATTTACTTACACTAAGTCAGCTGCAGAGGTTTCAAAGTGTCAAGTGAGACAGAAAGATTATCGTGAATGAGCAAGTAAAAATTTGTAATAATGTTGTTTGATTTCATGGTATTGTCCGGCATTTACCTGGATAGACTGACACAAACCACAAAAGCCTTCTTTCAGGTTATCAAGTAACTTGGTCAAGAATTCAACCTTTCTCTGGTGTATATAATATTTTTTAACATTGAACTCTGAATGGAGGAAGTGTAAATGTAAAATAACTAAGTTACCTCTGAAACACAGAAGAGGTTCAGCCAAGAAAGATATCTAGGCTACATCAACATAAATTAAACATTAAATGAGAAAAAAACCTTGAATATGGGAATACTGAATGACAATTTTGCTGATAACATTTACACATATTATTTAACCATTATAACTGGTATTTCAGATATTCCAAACTCAGAATGGGACAAACTCAGGATAGCAGAATGTAACTAACTTGTAAATCTCATTACCAATGTAAAAGGACTAATCTCAGTGAAGACAATATTTCCAGTGGAAAACACCAATGTTTCTGACAAATAAATTATGATACCAAACACAGTTTTGTGTTATTACCTTTTGAAGAGCTGGATGTGAAAATTTTGCTTCTCCTTGGAAAGTAGTCCCATCTTTACTCGGATTAAAGGCAACAAGGAGATGAACACCAGCCTTGTTGTCTGGCTGTTTTTCCTTGTCCAACCAAAAGTTCAGGTCAAGTTTTTGCTCACCCTTCTCCTTGACATAACCTAATTTACCTTCAGCTGCAATCACTCGTTGTGGCAGAGTGAGCACAGTACCTACAGCAAACAAGAAAGTGAATATAACATTTCAGAAGTACTTGCTGCCTCCATCATCAGGGCATTACTCACTGCCTTGATTATGGAGGCAGTGAGCACCTCTGAAATGTTGGTACACTTCTATCCGATTACATGGCACAACAACCAAAATGACAGCCACCTTAAATAATCTGAATGTCTGCATGATTCCAAAAGAAAACAAAGTCAATAAAAGGAAGTACATTCAACCAGTAGGATATGGACTTCACCCATTCAATCATTAATGTTTTTTATAATATAAGATCTAATCAACAATTTCTTAGGAATTAATGGTATATGGAAAAATATGCCAAAATATTATGGTTAAAATTAAAAATACTTACCAACAGTTTTCTCGTTGAGATATGAATGTAACTGATATGTAGTGTGCTTTTCATTGAGCAATTTCAGTTCAATTTTTTGATCAAATGATGATGGCAGTTTTACAGTCTTGCCTTCCAAAACATAACCCTCTGCAATGCCATGTGCCTTAAGATCAAGCTTTGCCCCAAACTCATGTTCTAGACTTGTTAGATCTGCAAAAACACAAAATTATAACTAACTATTCTGTAGATGAGTAGCACTCGGCTATCCAGCCAGTCAGTATGGTTACTGTCCTTATCAACATTAAACTATATTTCCACAAAAGATTGTACTAACATGAACAGTCCTTTGGCCTACTAATACCAACTACCTGCATTTGCATTAGAGAATAAGAACTCATAACACATTCTGTACACCTTTAGAAATAATTAAATAATAAAAAGGTACGTAAATTATCCCTCACATTCGATCAATTATCTCTTCACATGAAAATAAACCATTGTTCCTGCAGGTTAAGGAACTCAGATTAATCAACCCACACACAAGAAGTGGAATTTTATGATCATAAGAAAATATATTGCATATATTTTAACATAAGTTCACTAAAATTTCTTCCTGACTTCCTTTCCTTTGGTATATAGTATTATTACAGGACCAACTTCAAACTTACTACATAGTTATAATATCATTATATAAATGCTGTTCATAAGTTTGTTACCCTACTATTTGTTTTGTAAAATCAGAAGGATATTTCATATCAGGATCCAAGTTATTGCCTGTTACTACATACCTACCAATGATTGAAATGGCTAAATAAACCAAAATCACAAAGTGAATCTTACCAATAGATTTGATAACAGAATGAGCTTCAGAAACAGAGCACGTAGCGGCTTTGGAGCAGTAGGTGACACTGGCTCGTGACTCCTTGGTGGTATACTTGCTTAATGCTTGAAATGACTTTTGTCCTAAACTGAATAAAAGTGATGCCTGTGGAAAAGTATATATATTATAACAGCAATAAAGTAATCTTAATTTTCATAAGTATAAGAAAATTATAAATAAAATCAAATCAAAGTAGTGCAACAAATTATACGTTTCTCACATCTTCACAGTAAGTAAAAGTAGTACCCACTGGACAGGAGGCTGGGTGGGCCCCAGAGCCAGTCTGGACGCAGAGGCTTGAGGAAAAATCCTCTGCCTCCCTAAGGGATTGAACCCCGGTCATCCAGTCTGTAGCCAGTCACTATACCAACTGTGCTATCCTGGCTCCTCTTCACAGTAAGTCACTACAAAAATGAAAAGTCCCCTTCTGGTATTTTATTGCCAGCAAAGACACAAGAGGATAAATTTCCCCTACTAATAACAGATCCACAGCTGAGCAACAGTTAAAAAGAATCTCACTCTGCATTTTTCATTATTGTTTTCAACATTAATGTCTAGGAATAAATAAATAAATTCTTAAGTTCCATGAAAGGTAGGGAGTTTCTTGGCTAGCTGAGCATACTATGAGCTCAGTTCCATGGAATTGAGCAGAAATTAATATAGCTTAACAGAAGTTGTTAAAACAATTTTTTTGAGAAAATGCAATTCTATGAGAATTGCTTAGGTAAAACATATGACAGTTTATTTATTTTCATGTAACTGTGAATAAGATCCTTAATATGATTGAAATAAATTAAAAAGGTAACACAAACTGTCTACAAAAAACAACTTTTGAAGCTCATGCTTCTGCTTAACATATGAGGTCTGCTTGAATTTGAACTAGAAATTTCCCTTTTTCCTAAAATAACTACAAATCTGTCCTAAAACATTCTAC